TGAATCACAGCATGTGCTTGGAGGTGTTCCTGCCGAACTGGCATTGCACTTGCGTAATGGCCACATCCTCCACCAAAGAGGGTGTGCACAGGCCTTCCTGCACTCTCAAATGATGTATATATTATGCACTCAGCTAAGCCCATGTGGACGGGGCAGAAGCAACCTGTTTCAAACAAAGGCTTGCCCAAGAGAGCTGCGATTGCTTTAATGAGGCATTAGTAGACTGCTTTACAGAAACAACCAGCTGACTCGAAGCTTCCTGTTTAGACTGAGATCAGTTTGAATTTTATGATCAATTGGAGCTCACTCGTTCCATAATTATAGAAGTCATGGAAGAAAGATCTTGAATAACGATGTCCAAAACTTAATATTTTAACATATTCAGCATCCCCATGACTCCTTCGGTCCAATAAATTCCTAGTAATGCCAAATATTATTCTGCACCTTCAGAGATCTCCACCCTCCTGGGGCTTCCCTGTATTTCTTGCCTAAAGTACCCCCAAAATCTGAAACTCAATGAATACATGTCTTGTGGTCAAATTGCTGCCATATCATAGAATATGGTGTGCATCTTCTAATACAGATCCCTGTGTTTTTCCAATACAGTAAACAAAGGTGCATGAAATATTAGTCACAATTTTTAACGTTCTGTAATTTGATACAATTTTATGTCAGAAAATACAAAAAAATTAAAAGATCTTATTGAAAATGTGCACTTCCTTCTTAAACTGTGAAAATATGCATTTTTTGGGAATCTGCATATTTGGAGATAAATCACACATTTTTCAGAAGTGCAACTATGTATGAATTTGCATTTGTGCAAATGTGAACAAGTTTGCATAAAATCCAATTCCGTCAATGAGTGGCAGGTAACAATCTGCAAAACACAGATGGAACAGATCTATACGTCCCTAGCCTGGATTAGTGTTACAGGTCATAGCCCTGAACTTCAGTCTGCAAATAAGGTTCTAGCAGATTCCTTTTCTAGCTAAAAATAAAAGGCATAAGCCAGCTAGGGTCCAGTCAAACATGCTCAAACTAAAATATTCCAGAGACTTCAAGAAGCAACTGTTTCATGGAAAATGTGAGCAGTGCCATCTATTGGCGTTTCGCCTTAATTTTTCATGTAAGAGCAGTCCTACTAAAGCGTCTTTGTAATTTCCCCATCAACAACTCCATCTCAAAATCCAAGATGGACTCATGCACTGGACCACAGAAAATATCTTCGAATGCTGCAATAAACGAGTGAATAAAAACCAGCTCACAACTGAGAGCCTCAGAATGCACTGATTCACTAACCAAGAATGGAAGAGACTATCTCTGAGCAGCAGATGCTGAAGAAAAAATCCTTCCCCATGCTGCTTCCCAGAGGATCTAGCTGGCTGCTGTGGGAGTCAGTGCCCTCAACTCCAGAGACTTCTGGTCTGTTGCACAAATAGGTTGACCTTCATCTTCACCCTCTCCTCTTGGCTTTCTAAGTTTTGATGGGAGTTTGTTTCTAGTCCCTTGGTGTCTTCTGAGTTGCAAATTCAGAAATAAAAGTATATAGAGCTAACACTGCACTGTCAATTTCTGGTAAATACAACAGGGATATCTGTGAAGTAAATCCATTTAGAAACTCCTCTGATGTTTGGACAAACTCATTTTGGGGATCTGCAACACTGGGAATTCCTTTCCATCTAGTCTTCTGAGATTCCACAGTGTTTCCATTCTATTAAGCAGCAGTGGACTTCAGCAGATTTTTAATTTTTCCAGTTGCTGCTATTTGCACAAGTAGTAATTTGTGTCAATCAGATGTGGGCTGTGTGTGGGGAATTCTTTAAATTTGCACAAATGGGATCTTTTTTGTGCTCTTTTGCAAACATGCACGATTACAATTCTGCTTGTCCATTATAGAGGCATAGTCCCCTCTTGTAAATAACTTTTCATTTTTATCCACTCTACACACTACTTCCTTCCCAGCAGATCCATATTCTGCACTTGTCATAGTACTTCCTCATTTCATCCTCCACTTTGATGCTTTCAAAGCAAAGGGGTTGTGGAGTGGAGGCTGATGATTGTTTGACAGGTACAGAATATGGTTTTGCTGGGCTAAATAATGTAGCATGTAGAATGGATGAACCCGACACAGTTATTTGCAAGAGTGGAATATGCTTCAGTGAGCCTGCTTTTGGACAGCAAACTTGTGCACATGTGCATTTGTATAAGATCTCCAATAAAACTATATTTCAAAAATTGCCACCATTAAAAAAATAAAGAATTTTTCGTATTGACTGAACATGCTGCAGATAGTTCAAGCTGACAGCAGCGGGAGGGCACAGAAAAAAAGGCACTTGGGCCAAAGTAGAAACAATCCACCAGCTTTTTTTGAGACAAAATTCTCATGCAACCGTATTCGTTATCTTGAGCTCAGTGGATGCATGAAATCTCCAAGGCTCTCACTCTCCAATGCCCCAGAAGCCTTGCAAGCTCAGGTTTACTGCTGCACACTTTGGCCAAGAAGGTGAAGTTCTATTCATCAAAGGTAAGCTACTACATTTGGCACGTCCAACAGCATGGCAGCCCTGGATGCCATTCCCCACCTGTATTCTTCTTGGGTTGCACAGGAGACTACCCAGCATCCCATAGCTCCATTGTCTCTGTAGTGGCTTTTCCCCTGGCAGTAGGAAGTGGGAAAGAAGTCATCTCCCTGCTTGTAGTACCTTCCCTTGTATACACAGCCACAGTTCCCAATGGAGATACAACCATTGCCACTCAGGACAAGGCTAGCATTGCAATAGCGACCTTTTTGAAGGACATCTCACATCCACCAGGAGCCAAGAGGTCGTGGCAGGGCAACCACTCCCACAAAGTTCATAGGGGGCATTGTGTGGGCAGGAAGGTCCAGAAAGAAAGCATTGGAGGTTATGAATAAAAGGGAGTTTGAACCAAAAGAACAGGGTTGGGTGAAAACAAGTCCTCAACTATCCCAACACCCAAATTTGCCACCTATTGCAAACTGCAAAGTGTGTACGTAAGGACACATACTTTTTTTTTCAACTGGGGATGCTGTAATGGCAAAGGGGGCAGTAATGGTCTCGGATGTGTCTGGGTTCTGTTGTTTGCTTGCTTGCTTGTTTTCCTTTATTTTGCTTGCAAGTCACCAGGGTGTTTCTCTTTCTGTAATTTAGCTGCAGACTGTCTCATGGAGCCAATCATTATTCTACTCTACTTGATTTGTGCCTGGTGGGTACTAATACAGCAGCTACTGGGGACCATCACTAGATCACGTGCTATTATGAATTGCTGTAAACCACCCAGAAAGCTACAGCTATGGGGAGTAAAGAAATGAAATTAAAGAATGATAATGATAAGAATAGAAATGGGACTTGAAAGTTGGACTACACAGAAAGCCAAGGGGCCTGGTACTCTATGACATGCTAAATGGAAAGATATATTTAGCATTGTGTCTAGGTTGCTCCCCAGGTACTAGTAAATAAAAGCAGATCTAATCCTTACTGCAGAAGGAGACCGAGGACCTCTGGATGCCCTGAGCATAGGAGAACACCATGTGGGCACCGATGGCACAACAGAGAGCTTCTTGGTGGCTCTTGAAATGGCAGACATCAAAGGTACAACCACTGTGGTATGAAGCTGGGCCAATCACATCATGGCCTTTCTTGAATGGACCATCCGTTTTGGAGAGGATACCACAGTACTGGTCACCCTTGTAGGTTTGCTTTTGTGCTTCACCACAGACTGGGCAGTTGCTGGTGCATCCATTCTCACAACCAGGAATCTCACCTACCTTCCAGCTTTCTGCAAATTGAATGGAATTAGCTGTCTTCCTCCCATCCATCATTATGAGATCATCACCAGGTCCCCCATTGGTGTTGCTGCAGAGGTCACAAACTGCATTGCAATAACTTCTGGGCATAGTGACATAAAGAAGCCTGTTTCAGCTGAGGATCATGGTAAGATCAAACCTGGTTGCTACATGGACATGCGCTCCACTGATGTGGGCCTTTACAAGACCATAAACACTCAGAATGTACAGAATATACTGTCAGAAGGTGCAAGAATGACACTTCAAGAGAGGTTGCCTGTAGCTCAAGGACTGTCCCTTTCCAGCATTTGGCTTACAACCACTTCCTGGAAGCTTTGATACTGTGATTTTGGCAACCAACAGATCTCATGTGACAGGGAGTTATTTGACAGATTCCATCCCTCAGCAGGACAATGCTTTCCTCCTAGAAGTGGAGCAAGGCATGAATGCCTTCTGTATAACAATGCTGCCATGCTGTAAATCGTGACCCAGCTAACTGGTTGGAATATGACATGCTTACATCAGTGATGCTGTACTCCAATCCAGTCAAGGCTATATAATTAGAAGCCCCCTCTGTCAACATGATGTTTCAGGAAAGTGGAGAATACTTATTGATGATTTTTAATAAACTGAAACTCAAGACAGAAAATGCCAGATTGTTTTCTTACCAGAAGATGTTGAAATCTGGCTGCATTACAGATAAGATGACTGATTTATATAGTCCTCACATCTGTACGACTAAGGTTTTTTTTCCTCCAGCATAACATGTGTGGAACCAAAAGAGCTGAAAGAGCATCCAGCAGCTAAGCTGTCCGCATACCAACAGCTCATGACTGAGCACAGACAGGGCTGCCTGTCGAAGATTAACACTCTGCTTGCCAGGAAAACCTGTAGCTTCCTCCCATTCTTCCTTGCATGTTGCAAGCACTGCCTCCACCCGTTTCTTCCCTTCCTTTGTGGCAGAACTAAAGCATGTAGGCAAAGTGATAACACTCTAGACTAGCTTTCCAAAGAGGTTTTATTCATTTTCAGGAGAAAGGAACATGATTTTCATTGGCACAGGCTATGCTTTTAGTGCATGAAACCGGACTGTCCAAAATACAGAGGTTTGCTCTGGAAACTGAACTTTGTTGGGTGAACAGTTGCTACCAGTGGTGAGCAGCACAAGGGGAGGTCCAAGTCCCTCAGGTGGCTTTCAGGCATTACTGGAAGAGAAAAATATCAAGAAGCAAACTGTGAGCACATTCATGCTACAGCGAGGGTCTTCCCAAAACTTCTCCAGACAATCATACCCTTTTATGTCAAACATACTGGCTCTGTTTAGGAGTATTCGGCATGCTGAAAGTTAAGGATGGGTGAACAAGGTGTGCTTGAAGTCCTGGGGATTCTCCCACAGTCCATCCCACACTTGATTCCAGTTTGTGTTTGCAATCACTGATCACGCTCTGTAAAGGGGGAGCTTGTGGGAATAGAGCTCGGGCCAAATGGGATATTTCTGCAAGTCTCCCCAGATCAGCGCAGTGTTCTTCACCCGCACAATCTTCCTCCGTAGACTAAAGTACGGCTGATTTAATCTGCTCCATGGAGGAAATGTGTGCAAATCAGCACATGCACACAAATGAACTGAGTATTGGGTACAGAATGAATGCCAGCATGTGTCTGACAATGGGCAATATTTTCAGAGAAATATGCTGCTGTTCACATACTTTGAGAATATTCCCAGTAGCTCCACAAGGTGTTCTGAGTTTGTTTCAGACAAGGATAATGGATCTGACCAAGGCCTGTCCACTCCAGCATTGTGTTGGCACTATTGCCATAAAGGCTCAGTGAATGGACATTTTTCTCTATGCAGAGAGATCCATTCCTTCTGCTTCAAGACACTGCTTCCTGCTGCCAATACTACTACCAGCTATCTCAAGATTGCGCCACATCCTGTGAACCCTCCAAGACAAAAATCTCCCACAGAGGCAGGATGAGAGCTAGCACGGTGCAGCCATTAAAGTGTTCCACTGGGTTTCAGGAGCTCTGCATTACAGGTTCCACCCCTCCGTGAAAATCACAGGACAACTTTGAGCTGGCCATCGACTCTCAGACTAGCCTTCCTCACAGGGTCATTGGAAGGATACAGTAGTCAGGAGGAAGATGAAAGCCATTTTGGGCCCCTTGCAGGAAGAAAGGTGGGATATAAATTAATAAATGAAGACCACTCACCAGCCAGAGAAGTCCATGGACTTCCAGGCTTCAATGACCTCAGAGATGCTTCCTGCTATCTCCCCATTGGGCAGTTTAAGATCATCGGCACTATTTCCATTGAAGTTTCCACAGGAGGCACACAACTTTCCTGCCAGGCTGTCACTGACTTGCACCAGCAGTTTTCCACAGGGCCGTAGGATGACCTTGACTTCCGAGTCCAACTCAACCACGACCCCTTCCTCAGAGAGTCTCACTAAGACATCATCAGTGGCCTTGGCTGGGAGGGTCACAAGGTGGCCATTTATCTGAAATGCAGAAATGGACCATGAAAGGGTTAGCATTGGGTAAAGGAAAGAAGATATCACATACACACTTCACCTCTTCCTCAATGATTCTGAGAAGTACTTGTGCTTCCCAGACTCTATACACCTTTACATTATCCAAAACCACTCTAAGAATGGAGTTTAAACACAGAGAGAGTTTAAACACAGAGAGCCTATGAGTATATTCAGGCACAAACAACACAAAATGGTTTTCATGATGGGCCCCCAGTTCCCTAGATCTGAGGGACTAATGGATGAATGATGGTACAGTCCAAGACAGGGACAGACAGAAAAAAGCTATGTTGTGGGGTCATGGATAGCATTGTGGATCTTGTTTCTGTCCAAACCTGCATAGGATTGCAGCCTAAGTAGCCCCTCTCTTCCCTCCTCCCTGGAAGAGAGGAGACAACTTCTGGACAGGAAGAGAAGCATGCACTGTTCTGCTTCTATGGTAGGGCTGCCACTCACCCACGTCTCCCTGTTCCTTTTCACAGTTATGAAGACTCCTTGGAAAAATATGTGTATGGTTGATACTGCTGGCAAATCCCAATCGTTGCATTCCTGGACTACTGCCACGATCCTGAACCAAAAGGGGTCACTCTCGTTGCAAAGGGAAGCCACGTCATACACCCCCTTGTGGAGGATCTCCCCGGAGACACCATCGAAGGAGACCAGCCGTGCACCAGGGGTGAGGGCACACTCGCCCTCGGGACCCCTGCAGCCACGCACACCATCATGGATGGCGCATATCTCCCCTAGCTGGCAGCTGGTGTCCTCGCAGGTGAGCCGGCCTGATGCGCGACAAGTGCACTTCCTCAGACAGCCTTCCAAGACAAGACTTTCTCCAGCCTGTGATGTTTATAGTAGAAAGGAAGAGAGCATTAAAAATTAAACCACAAATGTTGGTGAACTGACAGCAAAGCAACATGCATTTCACAAAGAGACCCTGCACTTCTAAAAGGAAGAACAAACTACTGCGATCCCTTCACAAAACTGATGGTTGCTCTATATATCTGGGAACTAATAGGTTACAGGAAATAATGTTTCACACTGATACAGAAAATAATTCTATTACAGAAGGCCATGACAGGCTGCCTGCCCTCTCACCCATTCAGTTGGGAAGTGATACATCCAAGAGAAGTCTGTTTGGAGGATGCCACAAAAGGCTTATGGGCCTCTTTGGAGTCTTTGGCCTTCCCAGTTTGGATGGGATGCTGCTCACCAAGTGCTTCTGAGAGGCAAAGGCCCTGGCAGTGGCAGGGCTGGCCCACCTAGGCAAAGGCAAGTCATCTTGGATGCTCCCATGCACTTGAAGCTTCCTTGGCTGAGGAGGTTCACGTAGCAGAGGAGCTTGCCATATATCGGTCATTCAGGCAGAGGTCCTATCCAGGCTTTAGAGATGGACAAAACTAGCTTACTGAAATGTATGCCCACATCGACATGAATGCAATGGAGGGAGAAATCGTTGGATTCCCAGAACCAAGGCTGGAGGCAGTGCTCCAATTCTGGAGCTGCAGATCGGTGCTTATGACATGCAACCTGCTTCATTCCCCCTCTAGGTGGCCAATGCAGACTATGCCATGGAGAGAGGTGTGGGAAAGTGAAGATCACCTCGGCTGTTCTTCCCATTCAGCATGGGATGCTGGTGAGTCCCTAGTTTGGGTGCTTGCAAGCACCAGGGGAGGAATCATCAGGACGGTGCCCGTAACGGCTACTGCATGTACCTTGATGTATCTTCCATCATACACACAGCCGCAGTCCTCCATCGCCACACATCTGTTGCCATCAAACAGATAGCTGCTGTCACACTGGCAGCCTTCAAAGCATTTCTCTGTGCACTGCCCTGATGTAGACAAACTGGTGCAGGTGAAATCACAAGTCCTGGTACACAGACTGTAATGGCTGTTGGACGGGCAGGTGAGAGCTAGAGATGGGGAGAAGGAAAGAGGGCCGATAAGGGCAGGCTGGGGCATGTGCGTTCCGAAATCATAGCTCCAGCAAGCTTTCCATCCATATTAGTCAGAGCGCGCGGCATATGTGCAGACTGTCAAAGACAGTCAGTGAAACACATATTCTGTTGTCATAATTTGTGATGGCACTCCCACATCTGCCAATTCTTTTATAATACACCAGACCACTGGCATACCTTTATACTTTAAACACACAGAAAGGAAGTTCTGCCTGGTTCTCTTGAAAACTCCTTTTAAATTAGTTCCTGGAATAACACTATGAATTTTTTAAATAATTCCAGGAGGATTTTGCCTTGCTGGACAGAGCACGTTCTATTTGAAGAACTGTCACTTATCAGTTATGCCCAGCTCTGTTCTGTGGCGTTTTACTATTCTTTGTCTGATAGTGTTGCTTTATTATGCTATTTATTTTCATTCCTGTCAGCCACGCAGAATGGCGTGTAAGCATTAGAAGGGCAGCATAGGTGTGAAACAATTCTGCTGACGACACATTGCAGGGTGGACATCAGAAGTACGGGTGCGGTGAGGAAAACAGACACTGAGAACGCGCAAGTGCGGCTCGCTCTTCAACTTACGGCAGAAGCTGCTATTTCTCCAGGCCTCGATGGTAGCACCAGCAGCTTGGCAGGCCGCCACGTATGCCTGAAGGCTCCGACAGAGGGACTCCATGGCACCGTTGGAAGCACACATGTCGTAGAGGCAGTGGCCGAAGTACTCTGCGGGATCCACGAAGGCATGGCAGCCTTTGAATGGGCCTGACATGGCTTGGATCATTCCGCAGGAGCTCTTGGGAGTGTATGGCGCTGTCTGCTGTGACCCACAGACAGGGCATTTCTCACCACAGCCGTCTGAACAGCCTGTTCCCTCCAGGGGAACCTTCCATGAAGCACCAAATTGGTCAACGTTCTGTGTGCTTTCTCCACTGGGCAGAGTGAAGTCGTCTGTTTTGTCCTTATTGAAATTACCGCACAAGCCCCCGACATGCCCCTGGTAGGTGCTGGGCACAAACACGAGGACATAGGAGGAGGAATCATAAAGGACTTTGAGGCCGAAGTCAGACTGAACGATGATGTTGCTCCCTTCCTGGTTGGCCCAGAGTCTCCCAGCACTGGTAGTCATTGGCAAGGTGTAACGTTCCCCATTCACCTAGATTGACGACAAAGAACGTGACTGCAGACACTCTGATTACAGGCACGAATGTGCAAACCGCAGAGGGCTGCCCACTCTCACACTTTAAATCGCACGTGTCTTCGAAATAAAGAGGGGGAGACTTCCTTATCTCTGCAGGAACAGAGAGGAAGAAGTCCAGAAAGAAAAGCAAAGGGACCCCACCCCCCAACACACACCTTGTCAGCCTGTAACATTTCAGAACAATGTGAAGATGGCACGGTATTACGGAGTGATATTTTCCCATCAGCTCTTGCAATTGCAGGAATGTCAGGTGAAACTTGTGGACACCTGATTTGGAGACTAAGCTCACAGAAGGACTCACCTTGACCTGCCACTTCATTCCCTTCTCAATGACGACAGTGTAGCCATGAACTGAGACCACAACAGACTTTGTCAGGGACCTGTCATTCTCCACAAGCACAGAGAAGTTTGCTAACCGAGAATCCTTGCCGGCAACTGTACTTAAGGCATACAAGCAGGTACCGTGGAAGTCGTAGGCCCGGCCATCAAAGGTCAAGTAGTGGGAACCTGCGGCCATACTGCAGTTGCCATGCCCCTCTGGATGGCAGCCTTGGATGCCATCCTGCACCTTGCATTCTTCGTGGGGACCACAGGAGGTTTCCTGGCATTCAACGACCCCATTCTCAGTGCACTGGCATTGCTCCTGGCAGGAGGAGCTGGGGTAGAAGTACTCTCCCTTCTTGTAGTACTTCCCCTGGTGCATACAGCCACAGTCACCCAGAGGAACGCACTGGTCCCCACTCAGGACGAACCCAGCATCGCAATAGCAGCCCTCTTTGCATGAAGCCATGCAGCTGGCTGGAGCAGAGAGCCCGTGGCAAGTGGCAGGGCAGCCATTTCCGCAGAGCTCGTAGTGAGAGTTCAGCGAACAGGCAGGGCCTGGAAGAAAGGACGGAAGACAATGTGGAGAATGTCAGGCTAACGCTGGAAGTATTTTGCTGGAAAGGTGGTTTTCTGGGCACGGGGAGTAGAATAAGTCTGGGTTGCTCTGCTGAGTGACCTCTTCTGGTAAGGTGTGAGCTCAGAGTGAGATCCCATGCATCGTTAAGCAGAAAAATTCCCAGCATTCCCCAGTCAAATGCTGGAAGTTGTTGGGCTTTTTTCAGTCTAAATATGCATGCAGTTGCATGTAGTAGCCCTCTCACTTTGGTAGCTTTATCATATTTATCCTCTTAATGGGTTAGCTTTGCTTTTACACATGGAAAGTACATCAATGAGAAAACTCTCCTAGGACTTGGAAGATCTGGTTTCTCGTCCTACTTGGCCATGAAGCTCTCTGGGTGACTTTAGGCCAAACACTGCTCAGAGTTCAACTTTCCTTGTGGGATTACTGTGAGGGCAAAGTGGAAACTTTAGGGTCCCCAGGTTCTTTGTGAGAGGGAAAAGGGTGGGGCATGAATGCAATAATAACAATAGATTGTCCTGGGTGAAACTGGATATATCAAATGCAGTCCCATGCATGTTTAGAAAGAAAAAGTAATGTTGAAAAATGCATAGGACTGCACCCTTAAATATTCAAACTGAATGTGCCTCCAGGTATCAGAATTTCAGATTTTTTCCATGCACTTTAAATTCAGATCAAATTGATCAGGTGGATGGTGGCTTCCAGCAACCTGCTTGTGTTAGGTCTTGTTGAAAACCACAGCTATCTCCCTGTAAATCTTTGAAATACAATTTGAATGTTTCTCTTTCCCTAACCTACTATAATTAACCTCAGCTGCTCACTAAAAACATGCAAATACAAAACATATTAAGCTCTTGTCTCTGCTGAATAAAAGAGAGGAGCCAATGGTTTTTAATATGATGTTCATATGATGTTCATATCCAAATGTTCTAATGTCAGACTACCTTTTAAGAAGCCTCCCACTTGCAAAGTCTGGGAATGTCAGGGTTTTGCAACACACTCTTGACTTCCTCATCATTACATCTGGAATGCATTTGATCAGCCGTTCCCTACAGGGCTCTGCTAAAGAAGGTCTAAGAGGTGGCACTTACTGCAGAAAGAGTCTGTTCTCCATGGTCCAATCTGAACGCCCAAGGCTTGGCAGGCAGCCACATAAACGCTGATGGCACGGCACAGAGCATCATGCTGACCATGGTACTGGCAGGTATCAAAGACACAGTCAATGAAGTAGGGTGTTGGGTCGATGGTCCTGTGGCATTGCCGGAATGGCCCATCCTTTTTGATGAGGATGCCGCAGTATTGCTCACCCTCATAGGCTTCCTTCTGGGCATCTCCACAGGCTGGGCAGTCGTCAGTGCAGCCCACTGAGCAACCAGGGACCTCAGCCACCTTCCAGCTCTCGGCAAATTGAGATGCACTCGGTGCCTGGCTGCCATCCTTCATGGCAAAGTCATCCTTCGGGTCCCGGTTATTGTTGCCACAGAGACCACACACAGCATTGGTGTAAGTGCTGGGCACCATGACTCTGACGTAACTCTTCCAGTCAAAGACCACCGTCACATCAAAATCAGTCTGGATGAACACCTCCATTCCACGGAGGTAAGCCTTTATCCTGTCCCCATGGTAGAAAGGCAGGTTTGCAAAAGCACCATTGACCTGGAACATGATGCAAGAGGATGGACCCATCACACCCATCCTCTCACCCCTTGTTTTTAAAACCACAGTGGCAGATCTGCCCTGAATGAGCAGCTTATCTGCACGCTTGTGAAGCTCCACAGCTGCGGAGCCCTGCATAAATGGGCAATCCTAAAAGGCTTAGCAAAATAGTTGATGTTTCTGCATGGCCATCAAAATGTGTCATTCTATCTCAATTTTAAGGGACTCCATAAAGCAGCTCCAGCTGCAAATAAGGCCTAAGTTGTTCTCACTGATATATGGCAGGAAGGTAATGTGGCTAAAGCTCTTACTTCTTTGGTCAGGGAGGAAGTACTAGGAATAACAACCACAACCACACCAACCCAAGCAGTCCTGTTCTTGCAGCTACAGAATACTCCTGTGCTTGACCCAGCATGCAAATCTGGTTCGGATAGCCCTCAGGTGGTCATCTTAAGACCAAAGAATCTGAATTTGCTGGAGGGTCCTGAGGGCTGCAAAAAACCTCCTTGAACTCACCCACATCATGAACCTCAAAGGGCCACAGAAGGGCCACATATAATCCTGATTGTTAAACCTTCCATGGCCTTAGAGATTTTTGGCAGATTGCCACTCCTGAGCCCATCACCTCAATTGAGATGAAGACAGAGCAACGAAGGAGCACTTTCTTGATCTGCAAAGCCCCAGCAACCAGTCCGGCTGAACAGGCCTCTAAGAACCCAAGGGCCTTCCCAGGGCACCCACCAAATTTGCCCACTTCCATACCTGGATCCTACGTGGATGCTCCTGGCTCAGCACAATGCTCAGATTGTAGGCCTCCACTGTTACCACTTTTGTGTAGGACACCTTCTTGTTGCCTCGGTTATTGTTCTCCACATTGATAGTGAAAGGCTTGAGAGTCGGGTCATCAGAGCAAAGTCCTACCAGCTGGTAGATACAGGTCCCCATGAAATCATACCTCCTTCCATCAAAGCTGGTGTAGTGAGGGTCTCCAGATGCTGAACACGTAGCATAGCTGACGGGGTGACAGCCCCAGACCCCGTTGACCAGAGCGCATTGCTCATTAGCTTGGCAACTGGCTGGCTTGCAGACCACTATCCCCAGACTGGAATCACACGTGCAGCGGGAACCACAGTTCCCACCAGCCCAGAATTCCTCCCCGGGCTTGTAGTAGAAGCCATTGTAGGTGCAGCCACAGCTGCCTGTGGGCACACACTTGTCGGCGCTGAGGACGTAGCCCTCGTCGCACTGGCAGGTCTCCACACAGGGCTCCTGGCAGGTGGAGGGAGCCGTGCGGTCCGAACAGCTGGCCGGGCAGGCATTCCCACAGAACTCGTAGTGGCTGTTCTCGGGACACTGCAAAGCTGGAGAGGCGAGTGGAGGAAAACAGCAGTGGGGTTTAGCATCCTGCAAACCACGTGCTACAGCCTCAGCCCGGCAAGAACCAGGGCCAGTGCAGAATACCGGGGCAGAATTTAGGCTTGCAAATACTGCTGTACTTCCCAATTAGCACACACACTTCTGATCAGCATCAAGTTCAAACCAACAAGGCTTGCACACACACAGTCGCTCTTGGATTTCTCTCAAGGGCTCCTGCCAGCAACCTAATTTTGAGGGAGAAAAGTATTTGAGCAGTTCATCCTGTTGGACAGCTGGGAATATGATCTGCTGCAAATCCTCTGCGAGCCTTAACAGTTTGGGACCTGGATACCTAAAGGAACGCCTTCTACCATATTTGCCCTCTCGCCCCCTGAGATTGGCAGCAGAGGCCCTCCTCCAGGAACCCTCCGTAAAAGACATTAGGAGGCTAAGTACCCAGAGGAGGGCCTTCTCTGCGGTGGCGCCCCACCTATGGAATGCACTCCCCAGAGAGGTCCGCCTGGCACCGTCGTTATTCGTTTTTCAGCACCAGGTAAGACCTATTTATTTAAACAATATTTTAACAATTTTTAATATCATCTATAAGTGTTTAATATGCAGCCAGGGTGAATCTGTATTTTATGTGTACTATTTATGTGTACTATCCAGACAAGACAGAGGTCCTGTTGGTTGGCGGATCGGGCTTCGGAGAGGGTGAATTGAACCTAGTCCTGAATGGGGTTGCACTCCCTCTTAGGGACAAGGTCCACAGCCTGGGAGTGCTCCTTGACCCGGAGCTTTCACTGGAACCTCAGGTGACAGCGGTGGTGAGGAGCGCTTTCCTTCAGCATTGGCTGATTCATCAGCTGCGCCCCTACCTGGAGTACGACTGCCTCGCGACAGTGACACATGCACTGGTGACTTCCCGTCTTGACTTCTGTAACGCGCTCTACTTGGGGCTACCCTTGAAGATGGTCCGGATACTTCAATTGGTTCAAAATAGAGCTGCCAGGCTGCTGACGGGGACTGGGCATTATGTTCACATGACTCCAGTTCTCTGTCAGCTTCACTGGCTTCCCATTGAAGTCCGGGTCCAATTCAAGGTGTTGGTGATGACCTATAAAGCCCGAACCGGCTTGGGTCCTGGTTACCTGAAGGAGTGCTTACATCCATATATGCCCGGCCGCCCCTTGAGATCTGCGGGAGAGGCCCTTCTCCGGGAACCCTCCGTGAACGAAATTAGGAGCATGGGTACTCGGAGGAGGGCTTTCTCTGCGGTGGCGCCTAAGTTATGGAATGCGCTCCCCAGAGAGGTCCGCCTGGCGCCGTCATTATTTGTTTTCCTGCACCAGGAGAAGACCTTTTTATTTAAGTGGCATTTTAATTGTTAATATTATTGGATTTTATCTGGCCAGGGCGGCTTATATTATATTGGTATTTTTGCATTTTTAACTTAATGTTTGTATTTTTTAATTTAATGTTATAATTGTTTTTTAACTTAACGTTGTAAGCCGCCCCAAGGCTTCGGCGAATGGGGCAGCATAAAAATGTTTTAATATATAAATAAATAAATATTGGGTTTATCTACTGTATGTAAGCCGTCCCGAGGCTCATGTGAATGGGACGGCATGCAAAAATTCTAAATCAATAAATCTGCTTTCTGCCCACCCTGCTGCATGCTCTGCATACAGGAATGGTTTGGATTGGCGGACAAAAGGGTGGGCCAGAATTGCCAGCTATCAACAGGCCTCATCTGTCTTCTTGCCCACTGCAACTTCTGCCATTGCCACTGGCCGTCCCTACTCACCACAGCCAGATGGGGTCCTCCAGTCGTAGATCAGGGCACCTGCTTTCCTGCAGGTTTTTGCGTAGGCCTCCAGTGCCTGGCAGAGGAAGCCCTGGGCCCCACCATTCAAGCACACATCGTAAATGCAGCTGTCAAAGAAGTCATCTGGGTTCACTTTGGCATGGCATTCTCTGAAGGGCCCAGCTGAGGCATTCCTGATGATTCCGCAGTGCGCGTTGCTTCCATACAGTTCCTTCTTGCTCTCATCACAGGTTGGGCAGTTGCCCTGGCAGGAATCCCAGCAGAAGGGGTCTCGGTCCTTGACTCTCCAGCTGCTGGCCCAGCTTGTGACGGAGGACACCATGGTCCCATTGGGAAGGGCCATGTCATCCCTTGGGTCCCGGTTGAAATTGCCACATAGGCCACACGTGGCATTGTAGTAGCTGCTGGGGAGGGTGATCACCAGGTGCCACTTCCAGTCATACGTCACTTGGAGGCCAAACTCGGTTTGCAGGACAGCACTGGGGCCGCTCTGGAACAGTCGGATCTTTCCCTCTTCAAGAGTCAACGGCAGGCTGAAAATGGCATCATTTAACTGGGGGCAGAGTGACAAAACAGAACAAAACACAGAGGGGATTACTGGTTTCCCAGGAGTTCTCGAGGCCTAAGTGCTTATATCTGCACAGACTGGATTTCATTCTGTGCGCTCATTGCTCTGGTGCAAGAATGGGAGCACCCACAATTTTGGTGAATGGAACATAAATGAAATCCACACCCATCTCCAGACTGACATACCCTGATTCTTCCAACTTCCTGCTTGTAGATGGAGATCTTGTACCCATAGACAAAGATGTTGGCCAGGCTCACATAGGACACGGCCTGGTTGCCCCTGTTGTCGTTCTTCTCAACTATGGTGAAAGGAACCAATGTAGGGTCGCTTCCACAGTACTTGGCAATGGTGTAAGAGCAGGTGCCCTGGAAATCGAAGTCCATTCCGTCAAAGGTGTGGTAGTGTGGATCCCCCCAGCCCCAGCAGCTTCCGTTGAAGTTGGGGACACATTTGGCCAGTCCATTCTCAATTTTGCATGTTTCCTGCTGTCGACAGTGCAAGGCCTTACACGGATCTGAAATGAAATGAAATGAAATGAAAGGAGAAAATGCAAGTGAGTGCTCGATTCTAAGTAGAATGAATCTATGTGAAGAGCAGGAGATGCATTTCAGCCATAGATAATGCAGAGAATAAGCAAATGGAAAGAACAACACTGGAACCTCACTTTCTCTCCTTATTGTATTAGATCAGCTATGTATCTGTAGGCGCCCTTAGCCATATTCCCCTCCAGAAGTGTGAAAAGTGATAAACAGCAGCAGGTGGAGAAAACAGGCAATCATGAGCTGCACTGTTTGAAGGCCACTGTAAAGAGAACAGTTTTGCTAGTGCCCTCTATGGGTAAGTAGCTATAATTGCTGGGCGTGGGTCACCATCCAAGTGACTTTATTCAGTTGGAAGCGGCAAAAGCCGTTCAAGCAGCAGCCGCACACTGACGTCCCACCAGCTCTTCTGCCATGTCATGGGAATGCTTTCATGGCGGTCGGGCACCCAAAGTCTGAGCTGCTACTTGCACATATGGGGAGTGATGGCATCAAACTTACAGAGGAAGGAGCACCAGGAAGAGCAATGCACATATGCTGTCCCAATACTACACGTTCATGTCGTGGTGCAATACCCATTGAGTGCGGAAGATTTAAGTGGCCAGAGCAGTGGCAGCATGCACTACCACAGCCAGAAAACCCTGCCACACGACAGCCGAGGAGGGGTGGCAAACCATGTGCTTGCTGGCCAGCATGGCTGAATGGTGAACTCCACCTGATCCACCATGTGCTCCTCAGACCTTGAACCTGAAGGTCGCCTGGCCTGGCTCATTCAATAAGCTTATCTCCTCACCCTTATGAAAGCAACCCAGGACTCCATCCTGGATCTTGCAGGTCTCATCACGGGCACAGCTGTGGGCTTCACAAGTTACTCCTTGGCTTGGGATGCAGCGGCAGCTCTCTTGGCAAGTGTTCAGCAGAACCGTCTCATTGGGCTGGTGAAGGGCAGATATTTTAAATAATATGGTATACAAGGAGCAGAAGTACACATTATTATTATTATTCTTTTTATACCCCTTATATACCCTTTCATAGCTACACAGATTCCATAGCAGTGGACAACAAAAAGATCATTAGAAGCAGAATATTAATAAAAACAGTGACTGGTTGACCAAGGAGGGCATCCTGAACTAATGTTGCTTTAGGAGGCACTGAAAAAAGCACAGTATTGCTGCCTCCCGACCCTTGGAGGCAGAGCGCTCCAGAGAAAAGGAGCTACCACACGGATGGGTCTCCCCTAGGGGGCTCCTGTTGAGACACAGCTCCATGCAGCAGCACCATGAACAGGCCATCGGATGACTTCAGTCACTAGGCAGGTGGTTAAGGGAGAAGGAGCTCTGCCAAGCGTCCTGCTCCCAAGCGGCTGGCTCTTCCTATGCCAGCACCAAGTCCTTCAACCTGGCCCGGGAGCAGATAGGCAGCTGCTACGCTTCCCTCAGCAAAGGAGCTGCATCTTGAAAGGATTAGCCCCTCGCAGCAGCCGAGTCGCTGCTTGCTGCATGAGCGCCAGCTTCAGGACCAGCCTCTGGAGTTGGTCAACATCATCAGCCCAGGTAGGTGTGTCAGGCTGGATGACTCTGCAGCCTGGTCAGCACCTCGCATCAGGTGAGCTTCATTGACTAGCACTTTGTCTCCTCCACATTGTACAGAGGATCATTTGAACATGTCACAGTATATAAATACATTGCATAATAATAGTGATAACGATAATGCCTCTTGTTAAAGGGCTTCTGAGAAATTCTGAAGATGACAGGAAGTGTTTTGATATTTGAGTGGAAGGAATGCGGGACCAAGCAAGTCCAGACAGAAAAACAGGGAAATATAACCTGGTCCATGAGGATGGGTGGTGAGTCCAATAAAAAAGCAGGGAATGGGTGGCTTAGGAGAGCAGCTGACCTTGTAGTAGCGTCCGTTGTGGAAGCAACCGCAGCTTTCTGCGCGAACGCAGCCGAGACCGTCAAAGAAGAAGCCGTCGTCGCACTGGCAGCCCTCAGTGCACGTCTCCGGACATGGCTGGGGGTCCGTGATCTTGGCGCAGCTGGTGGAGCAGAGGTCGGCACAGAGCTGGTAGTGGCTGTTGGCTGGGCAATGCAGAGCTAAAGGGAAGAAAAGGCACATCTGAGCTGGAGCTGGGGCTTCATAGTCCCACTCTCAGGAAGAGGGCAGAGGGAAATGTCATCTGCTTGTCTGGAGGAGAGGGGAGGGGAAGGAAGAGAGAGTGGGGGACTGGCAATTAAACTAACATGTCACTGATGCTTTCTCAGACAAGTTCTGTCCAAAGCCGGAACTAGAATGGATTGGGGGTAAACATTTTTAAGATGCTTCTTTTCCCTCTCAAATTATTTTCCCATTCCTAGCTCTGACATTAGGAATTCTAGCTAGTGTTGGAGTTAGGAGGAAATCAAGATTTAAAGTGATTAACATGAACAATCTGTTCGTCTCAGAGCTGGATTTCAGAGGAGCAGTTTGGAGATGAATTGCAATCCCAACAACCTCCTTTGGATTCTGGAGCATTTACTGGGTTTCTGATCTGTTCTGTGCTTAATTTCATTTTTAAACAGTGATTCACATAAAGAAGAAGAAGAAGAAGAAGAAGAAGAAGAAGAAGAAGAAGAAGAAGAAGAGATGGAAGGAAGGAAGGAAGGAAGGAAGGAAGGAAGGAAGGAAGGAAGGAAGGAATTGATGTCTGGGAATCAGGACAGGAAGTCCAGATATTGTGTGCCTCTCATTCATTCATCACATTAAAAGAAATTTCTAGTAAACAATCATGCTTCCAAGAATAAATGGATTCAAAGTTAATCAAAGCATAAATTATCATTGTCTAAAGGCTGTGGGGACTCTCTAGTACACATGTATAAATTAAAAGAGAAACTTATATTCTAAAAGAGTAATTGCCAGCTAGTGGCTTGGACACCTGGGACCTACAAATGTTGAGAGATACATACAGGAAAGTCTAGAGAGCAATTCTACGATCCTGGGGTAAGCTCCTGGGGCCACAGATGAAGCTACAATCTTGACAAGTTTTCCCATCCCCTACCCCCAGCTTCAGGGTCCTCCCTCTAGACTGAGGAGGTTCCACAATTCCTGAACTGTTTTGTGAAGTCAGAATCCTGCCTTGAGACATTACCATGGGTTTTCATTTTGCTTACCTTACCTATGGTTTGCCAGAGAATGCCTATGAGTGTGTACTTATTTCTCCTCCAGCCTCCTGCACTTCAGTTAAAGCCCAGGGGAAGAAGGCATCATGAGTCCCTCCCTTCCAGAGGGCTTTTTCAGGGTAGGAAGCACAGGCTGCCTGGGAGGCTGCAGAGCAACGGAGAGATCTGCAGCAGAAAGACACGCACGCACGATGCCCACAGCTCCCTCACAGTGATTGAGCTCTCAGTGCATGCGCATCTCCGTGCTCAGCCATCAACACTCACGGCAGAAGGATGGGTTCCTCCAGGGTTCCACAGAGACCCCAGCCTCTTGGCAGGCGGACACGTAGCTCTGGATGCTCTGGCATAAGATCAGGCTCTCCCCATTGCCCAGGCACACATCGTAGACGCAGTTGTCGAAGTACACACTGGGGTCCACCTTGCTGTGGCAAGCCCTGAAGGGGCCATCCGAGGCGGTGAGGATCCCACAGTAGTTGCGCTGTTTGAAGATGGCCTTCTTCCTCTCCTCGCAGACTGGGCAGCTGCTCCCAGAGCACCCATCGGAGCAGGATCCTTCTGCCCCAGGGACTGGAACCTTCCAGGCAGCGCCAAAGGCAGCTGCATCTGAAGCCATCGTGCCATCCGGAAGGAGAAACTCATCCTCCTTCTGCCCATTGTAGTTGCCACACAGACCTTGCATCCGGCCCTGGTAAGTGCTTGGGACCATGACTTTCACAGAGTAAAACAGGTCATAGTTCACAATGAGGCCAATGTCTGCTTTGATCACAATATTACTGCCCTGCTGAGTAACTGTGACCATCCCAGTAGAAAAGCTCACAGGGAGAGATTGAGATATACCATTCACCTGCAAAAAAGGACAGCAAGTCTTGAGCAAAGCTGTCTTTGAATAAGAGGAGGTGGTTTACATGAAAGGATTCTATTGAATCCTAGTTCTCTTCGTCATATTGACCCAATGCCATCAGACTTCTAAAAGAAATGTGGTCCTGATTCCCCTTTCATCAATTAGATTAGAGATGGGAACCATCTGATCGATGGTGAGCACTGGAGGAAGTCGCAGTTCAGTAACATCTGGATGGCCACATATTCCTCCATCCCTGCATTAGATATAACATTTTGGAAATGTTTGAAGCTATGCTGGGGTGAAAGGGAAAGTTGGAAGTTTTTACACACACATTTATTAATGAGCTGCATCATAACATGAAACTTGCATTTATTACTTTGGGGGCTTGGAAGTAATTTAGATGATTTAATTAGCTGTCAGCATGCAGAATAGCATGACAGAAATTTTTGAAAAAAAAAGAATGCTTGCATTTAAACAAGTGGAGCTGCATTACTAAGTTATATATGTACAACTTGAGCCTTGCTTTCAAGCATGACAAGATAAAGTAAAAGCTGAGGATCAAATACCTTTATCAATATTAGCAGTGTGTCAAGCAAACAGGAAAATAATAGCATTTATTATTGACAGAAAGAGTGTTATTTTTCTGGAACAAAAGCAAGCTGTGTTTCTTCAAAACCACATTTAGAGCACAGCACAACTGTAGCCCTCGGGACTCTCTGGCTTAGGGGCATCCTATACAGAGTGGAAGGGCAGTTAGATGGTCCAGTATAAATCTGGCCTTCTACATCAGCTGCCTATCAGGCAAAGACTGATATTTCTTTATTTTTTACCTTCAGGGTCAATCATTCACTCAATCAAACAAATGACACCCCCCTCCCGCCAAAGAGTGGGGTACAAACATATGAGCCAAACCCCTGCATGTACTGTCACAAAGAAAGCCAGATGATTCTGGATGCTGTCTGGCTGGTGGAAGGACGCATTCATGAACCAAACCATGCTTTTATGCAAAACGGACTGGCTGAAGGCCTAAGGACCAGTGTCTCCTTGCAGCATAGCAGACTCACCTTGACTTGTCCCTTCTTCTTCTGCAGCAAGGTGAGGGTAATGCCATAGATCTTGACAGAAACCATTTTGGTAACAGAGACCTGCCCATTCCCCCAGGGTTCATTCTCCACATTGACGACAAAGGGTACCAGGGTCTGATTGTCCCCATTGGCTTTAGCCAGGGTATAGGTGCAGGTGCCCTGGAAATCAAAGGCCAGTCCATCGAAGGAAAGATAATGCGGGTCACCAGATGCCGAACAAGTGGCGTTGCCAACAGAGTAGCATTTCTGGATGCCATCCAACAATCTACATTCCTCGTGGGGTCCACAGGAAAATGCCATGCACTGCACAGTCCCCCCTGCTTGGCACACACAACGCTCCTGGCATGTTGGGTAGAAAGTCTCTCCTGCCAAGTAGTACTGGCCTTGATGGATGCAGCCGCACTGGGACAGCGGGACGCATTGGTCGCCACTCAGCACAAAGTCCTCGTTGCACACACAGCCTTCCCGACACTGAGCTGGGCAAGGGGCTGGAGCGTAGAGGCTGCTGCAGGTCTGGGGGCAGCCCTGAGCACAGAGCTCGTAGTGACTGTTTGGGGTGCAAGACAGACCTGCCAATGAGAAAACACAAAGGTGAAGGCAAGAGCTTAGCTGGAAAGCAGCTTCAGCATGGTAAGCATGGGGAGTGGGGAGGTAAGTACAGCTTGGTGTTAGGCTGAGAGCCTCCCTCTCCTTTAATAGTCCCATCTGGGCCCATCAGACGCATGCTTGCATCCCTCCACGGCAGTGGTAGCCTCTGTTTAGACCTAAATCCCTATTTGGGGTCAGTGAAGTACCCCACCAGACAGCATCAAGACAGAGCATCCATCTGCAGTTGTGAGTAGGTGAACTTCAAGCATTCCTGAAATTTATTTATTTATTTAAAAATTTCTATGCCGCCCCATTCGCCGAAGCGTATATGGACGTAAGCGCTCCTTCAGGTAGCCAGGACCCAAGCCATTTAGGGCTTTATAGGTCATCACCAACACCTTGAATTGGGCCCGGACTTCAATGGGAAGCCAGTGAAGCTGACGGAGGACTGGAGTCATGTGAACATAATGCCCAGTCCCCGTCAGCAACCTGGCAGCTCTATTTTGAACCAATTGAAGTATCCGGACCGTCTTCAAGGGTAGCCCCACGTACAGCATGTTACAGAAGTCAAGGTGGGAAGTCACCAAAGGGTGTGTCACTGTCGCCAGGCAGTCGTACTCCAGGTAGGGGCGCAGCTGATGGATCAGCCGAAGCTGAAGGAAAGCGCTCCTCGCCACTGCTGTCACCTGAGCTTCCAATGAAAGCTCTGGGTAAAGGAGCACTCCCAAGCTGCAGACCTTGTCCCTAAGAGGGAGTGCAACCCCATTCAGGACAAGGTTCAATTCACCCTCTCCGAAGCCCGATCCGCCAACTAACAGGACCTCTGTCTTGTCTGGATTGAGCTTTAGTTTATTGGCCCTCATCCAGCCCATTGCCTCGACCAGGCACTGGTTCAGCACAGCCACTGCCTCACCTGGATTGGTGGAAAACGAGAGGTCGAGCTGGGTATCATCAGCGTACTGATGATTCCGCAGCCCACAGCTCCTGATGACCTCTCCCAGCGGTTTCATGTAGATGTTAAACAGCAAAAGGGACAAAATGGACCCCTGCGGTACTCCATGGCATAGCTGCCATGGCGCAGAGCCATAGTCCCCCAGCACCACCTTCTGGAATCGGTTATTGAGGTAGGAGCAGAACCACTGCAAAGCAGTGCCTCCGACCCCCAATCCCGCCAGCCTGTCCAGAAGGATACCATGGTCGATGGTATCGAAAGCCGCTGAGAGGTCCAGAAGAACCAACAGGGATGCACTCCCCCTGTCCTTCTCCCTGCACAGGTCATCGTACAGGGTGACCAAGGCAGATTCAGTACCGTACCTGGGTCTGAAGCCGGACTGAAATGGGTCCAGATAATCCGTTTCATCCAAGAGAGCTTGAAGTTGTCCTGCCACCACTCGCTCCAACACCTTGCCCAGAAACAGGAGGTTGGCCACTGGTCTATAATTAGCAGCCATCTCTGGATCCAATGATGCCTTCTTCAGGACCGGTTGGACTACTGCCTCCTTTAAAGGGGCAGGTACCCGACCCTCCCTCAGAGAAGTGTTAACCACTTCCAAGATCCAGATCCCAATCCCGTGCTTGGAATTATTTATTAACCAAGACGGGCAAGGGTCCAATAGGCAAGTGGTGGGACGAAATGGCAGACAAATACACTGGAGCTTCATTTCAAAATAGAAATGCCACACTCTCTCTAATGAAGAACATTTGCTCAGGGCATCTGCACTTATTCCAGGAAGTGCTAGATCTCTGAGACCAGTTTAGAGAACAATGTGGAAGCCTCCAGGCTATTTCAAGCTGAATGACAGTTTTACCTAAAATGCCATGCTACTGATTCTTTTGAGCTAGAAATTTCCCAATTCTGCTATAGCACATCTGTACCACAGTACCACCTTATGTTTTGTTAAGAGAATACACAGAAAGGTAGAAAAAGGAAAATCACACATAAAAGACCCTTGCTTAATCCTGCAAAGAAAATGGAAGCAGGAGCCTCCGTAAAGGGGCAGTCAAAACCTTCATGCAGAGGAGACTCCGGCAATGTTGCTCCGGCGAGTTGCACTTACTGCAGAAAGTGTCAGATCTCCACTCATACAGGACTGCCCCAGCTGCCTGGCAGGCTGCCGCATAGCTGCTGATGAGCTGGCAGATCACAGTTTGCTGGCCTTCGAAGAAGCAGTAATCATATACACAATCTTGGAAATATCCCTCTGGGTCAATTTTGCTGTGGCACTCTCTGAAAGGGCCATCCTTGGCTAGGATGAGTCCACACTCCTTGCCAAGCTGCCGTTGCTGTTTTTCAATGGCTGCGAGGTCAGCGCACTCTCCCTTGTCCACCTCTGTGCAGCCTGGTACCTCTCGCATTTTCCAGCTTTGACCGAAGGCTGATGGGCTTGGAGCCACAGTGCCATTTTTCATGGTCAGCTCATCTTGCTTGTTGCCATTGAAGTTGCCACAGAGACCACAAAGGGTATTGGCATAAGTGCTGGGCACAGTTACTGTGACCCGACTTTGCCAGTCAAAGGTGACAGTGAGACCGAAGTCCGTCTCGATCACGGCCTCTTGCCCTTGTCTATGTATAGAGATTCTCTTGCTTTCAGTGTAGTACGGCAGGTTGGTCAGCAGGCCATTCACCTAGAACCATTCAAAAGAGGAGGCATGGGAATTTTGGCAGGGCCTTTGTGTTACCCAGAAGCATAAAAGGAAACTGTGCGGTGCATCATGAATGATTTCCAACTCACTTCTCTCTGCTCCATATTAATTTTCTTCTCAAAATATTTTCCTACTGATTTAGAGTTTTTGTTTGGTGTAACATTTCTCCTAATACAAAATAGTTTTTAATATAAGGTTTATTTGCTTCATTTCTCTGGTCTCTGGAATGAAGAAAGCAACAACTCTGTATAATAGACTAATGAAGGGCTGTAGTTTCCCAATAGTCATTGGCTGAAAGCAGATTTGTATGATCACAGTTCTGAGAAAAAGAATGATGTGTTTTCAACAACGTTGAAAATGGACACAAGACAAAGCTGGCTACTTAATCTTTCTTCTGGAAACTAACCACATAGAGGAAAGGAGCCATGCCCATATGTCTAAACTGGCAAGTAGATTCCACCTGTTACTGGAGAATGTCAGTATTAATGTTCTAGACCTCTGGGATTGCATGATGATCAAATAAATCCATCAACCCATTTCGCTTGAAATACTTTACCCATAATTGGCAGGAAAGCTTCCATAAGAAAGCAGAGAGAAGGACAATTCTCAGAGTGTGTCTGCAAGAACTTCTGCCTTGAAGCCCTGCTCCATTCCAAATGCCCCACCTGCCTAAGAAGATCAAAAAGGAGATCCTCCTCTGAATATAGAGTTAAGGGACCAACCTATCTTCTCTCTGCTCCTTGTTTCTCCCCCTCTTAGTTCCATGTTTAAAACTCTGAGCTTTTTATGGCATACAAAGCCAGGCTGTAAATTTCCCTGGTGTGGTGGGATGAATAATGTCCAGACATGGAAATAAAGTTTAAAAAATGACACACCTGAATAGAAAAGTACGGAACAATATTTGATCCACTCACCATGACTTTTGCAGGGTTTCTTCTACTAATCACAATGGATGTCTCATACACATAGATCTCAACATCCCGGGTGAAAGACACAGCCTGGCTGCCTCGATGATCATTTTGGACGAGGACCAAAAAGTCTACTAGGTCCGTTCTCTTCTCACACAGGCCAGTGAACTGATAGACGCAGGTGCCTTGGAAGTCAAACTTCAGACCATCAAAGGTAATGTAGTGAGGATCCCCTGAAGCCGAGCAGGTGGCGTAACTGGTGGGGTAACAGTTCTGTATGCCGTCCTCCACCCTGCACTGCTCTCCACTCTTGCAGCCCGTTGCCTGGCAGGTCACTTGTTTCGTTTCTGCATCACAGGTGCAGCGCTTGGTGCATGCAGCGTCTCCCCAGAACTGCTCACCGGGGGAGTAGAGCTTCCCCTCAAATAAGCACCCACAGGCAGACTCGGGGACGCACCGTCCTGCATCCAGCACAAAGCCGCCATTGCACTGGCAGGTCTCCACACAAGGCAAGGTGGAGCAGTTCTGGGGACCGGCTTGAGCATTGCAGGTGGTAGGGCATGGGGGCCCACAGGCCTCATAGTGGCTGTTCTCAGGGCAGGAGAGAGCTGTCAAAGAGATTGGATACGCGTCAAGAGGGCAACATCAAAGGAGCGGAAGGCCCTGTGCTATGGTGGATTTTGCTAGTGTGGCTTAGGGGACGGAGTGCGGGACCTTGACCACAAATGCTGTTTACTGAACCTGCCTCACAGGGCATTGCAACCTGGTGCCTGCAGCCCCCAGTGTGTCCCCAGAGATGTCTTTTGGCACCCTCCCCCGTTTATTTGGTATGAATGCACGCATGCATTTTAAATCAGCACATTTCCATACCAGCAGGGGAGATTACTGTGAAATATGCTTCTGTTGGCGCTGAAAACTGTGTTCAGGGAAGTATTTCCACATGTCAGGGCTCAGACACCAGCACTGCCTCAGTCTTCTAGGCAGTGACTTGCCCTTCACCACACCTTCCATGAAGGTCATTTTGTGCCAGGGCCCAGGGTTGTTTCACAAATTTCCAAATGTGCCCATCAACCAAAAGGTGGCCTGCCCCCAGTCCCTTGGGTGGATGGAACGGTTAACCTTGGGGACATATCCCTGAACCGCTTGGAAAAATGTGTGCAGAACATGCAAATTTGCCTTCCTAGCTAACATACCTTCCCTGTTAATAACATGGAGATGGTCATGCAGCATTTTGCTGTATGATAAAAGCATTTTTCTTCTGTTCTATTGCTATTAACTGCATATACATTGTACTTATTTTGGTTTTAGTTTTGCATGTGCTATGTAAGTGTTACACATGCACACATACCCTGTAAGGTATGCATTCCTTATATTACAGATGCAGGGCTAAACCCAAAAGTGGGGTTTGATAAAAATGTACAGATTGTAAGCTGCAACATGATAAAATGGCAAAGGAGGTAACTAAAGGATGTTGTATAAATGAGCCATGAAGCTCCAGGTGGCAGGCAAGAATGTTCTGCCTTGGCTATCATCTTCTTTTCTGGAGACATTTTAACTCATGTCTCTGTAACAATGAGGACAAGAATCTTGCTTGACAGCAGCATCCATTATTTTCTCAAGGATCCACTTCTGTTTTAGGTCCAGTGTGAAAATCCATGTGGACAGAACCTCAGAGGGTGATGTGTCCTGGCTAGACTCTGTATACCTCAAGGTGTCTAGGGATACACTATATTAGAAACTGGATTACTAAGAAAAATCTAGTCCTTTTTGGCTCTTTGCCCAGTGACACTCACAGCAACCAGTTAGAGACCTCCAATCAGAAACAGCAGCTCCCTCCTTCTGACAGGCTTCAGCGTAGTTCTTCAGCGCCTCGCACAACACATGCTTGAGACCATCATTCAAGCAGAGATCATAAACGCAGTTCTCCAGAAAGATACTGGGATCCACCACAGAATGGCACTGGCTGAATGGACCATCTCCCACTTTGCTGATCCAGCCACAGAACGGCTCATCTTTATATTTGATGACCATCTCTGGTGGGCAGCTTTTGCATTCCCCGTGGCAGTCATCCCAGCAAAACCTGTCACCATCCTCCACCTTCCAGCTTTTCCCAAACTGCACTGGACTGGGAGCCAAATTCCCTTCGGGGGTACGGAAGTCATCTGTGGGGTCTCCATTGTAGTTTCCACAGAGGCCACACACGCTTTCCCAAAAGCTACTGGAGATCTTCACCACCAGGTAGCTGTTCCAGTCATAGGAGACCCTCAGTGAGAAGTCTGTCTCAATAAAGGCAGAGCCTCCATACTGGTACAGACGGAGCTTCCCATCATTCAAGGAGATGGGCAGTCGAGTCCGCTGATTATTTACCTACAATGGAGAAGAAAGATCCAGCAAACAGCATTCAGATACTCCCCCCAACACAAGGCCATTATGCATTTAACCAAAGAAGTTGGATTTCCCATGGTGGTGCTGGTAACAGCATCTAGCAAAACCTAAAACAAAAATAAAGATGGACAGATTGGACAGATGTGCAGAACAACTGAGAATGTTTAGCAGTCATAGTAAGACCCTCCTTTTTCTTGAAGCACACAGAGGTTTTGTACAAGCATTTGTGTCCGAATTCCAAACCTCAAGGCTATTCACTATATGGCTGTGTAAAATGTGGTGAGAAGGAAACTTTCAACTTGAAGGGGGAGAGCAAAATGCAGGTACCCCAAACAGGAGGAGATTCCCCAAATGCACTTCTCCCAAACAAGATGGGAGCCACAGTTGGTGGAAATGTCTTGGCCTTTTATTGCTTGTAGTGATACGGACAGTTGAACAGCTCTTTTTGGGGTCTGGCAATTATTCTGTTTCTTAAGTGATGCCCAGGACTGGATGTCACTGGGGGATTGTGGGAAAAAGGACAGCTGCACAATTTTTTTTAAAAAAATCAACTCCTCAACTCAATTCAACTCGATAAACTAAACAAACTTTAACGCTCCATCTGCCTGGGCTGAATAATAAGCTGATTTACCCTTCATTCCTTGAATCCCAATGACTACTCAGTTTCCACCAAATACCATAAAATCTCAGCCTTGCAGTGAGATCCCCCTTTTCACTGACTGACAGACTCCCTGCTTAGCCAATTTTCTGTTCCCTTCCCCCAGTATTAAGAAGGTGAAATCTTTTCATATGAAACTGCCTATCAAAGCTTTCCCAGCATCACTACTGATTCAGAGAAGAGAAGGGATTTGTGCCTCCTTCAACTTCACCTGAAGAGAAAAAAGCAAAGGAGAGCTATTTGCATTAAAACTGTTTTTCAGGGATGAGCTTTCCACTGGAAGATCTGCCAGACATTTAGAAAATCTTGGGAAAGGGATAACAAAGGCATGGTGTTAATGTCTCAGATATCTCCTGTAGACACGAGCCACACCACGCTTTCCTCACTCACTGAAATGGAACTGCAGTTCTCTCAGCATGAGGGCTGAGCAAGAGAACCAACTGCAAAAGCAGTTTTCAGAGCCCTGGGGAAGCATGCAAACAAAACAAGTATGTCGCAACTGCAGCAGGAGCTTGGGGAGGTGGGAGAGAAGTAGGAAGATATTTGTCTTTCTGTCTTACCCTCACAAATCCGACCTCATATCTTGCCACAGAGATGGTGACATTATAAATGGTGGCTGTTACTAAAGCAATGTAAGAAACATGAGGGTTGCCCCTGTTCTCGTTCTTGGCCACAATGCTGAAGGAAGGAAGAGACACATCCTGGCCACAAGTCCTGGCGATGATGTAGGTGCAGGTGCCCATGAAGTCAAATTTCCTCCCATCGAAGGTGTAATAGTGCGGATCTCCCTGTGCCCAGCAGGTGGATTCGGACTCTGGTACACAGACTGGCTGTCCATTTATGATCTCACACTTTTCCTTCTTCCTGCATTGCACTGAACTGCAAGAGGGCACTGGTTTGTCTGAAATGGAACAACTGCGATGTCATTGCAAAATCAAGACTGGTTGGTAACTGCTCAAGGCATGCCTGTATTATTAATATTGTCACCTTGTATTTATAGCTGCCTTTCTTCCTCTTGCAAGGAACCCAAGGAGGCATAACAAAGTCCACCTCGACTCCCCTGTATCCTCACAGCAATCCTGTGAGGTAGGTTAGGGTGAGAGGGACTGATTGGCCCAAAGTGAGCTTCCTGGCCAAGTGGAGGCCAGAAGGCAGCCCTCCCGGGTCCCCAGTCCAACACTTGCTCCATCATACCACACTGGCTTTCATTTCTGTAGGCAAAAAGGGGGACTTGTTAGATGTACTCAGAAACCCGTATGGGCATTTGTGAAGTCAACCAGCTTTGGGCCATCAGTTTGGGTACTTACAATGGTCACAGAGAGAAATGAGGCATTGAATTGAAGTAGTTGTCTGTTTGCTTGTCAGGGGTGACTAAGAATTAACCCAGGTAGGGAGTATGAGAAATTTCATATCAAACTGGTTTTGACCCGGATTTACCCAGGATGTCCATTTTTGAACACAGATTTGGACTTGGATATAATCTACTGTTGAAGCAGGTCTGGATTTGGGGATGGGAGTTGTCCCCCCCCCAGCAGGTCATTTTTTAACAGCTGCTGTGCACATAAATGGCTTGCTGAGAGTAACCCCCACTCACCCCACCTGGATCTGCGTCTGAGTTGAAGTCCATTCATTTCTGCTCTCACAATGAGATTTGTGGACTCAAGAATTACATCCAACAATATGCATATATTTGAAACATGCCCATGAAAAGCACATCCTTTTGAAAAAAATATGGACAAATATGCTTTCATCAATGGGAGAAGAATGTCTATATTTGATGCATACATTTGGAAAATATGCATTCAAATATGGATGGAGTTTCATGTAAAAAGAAAAAAAGATCGCAACCTGATACAGACTCAAGTCAAAATGAGAATTGAGATGAAATTCAGAGAATTTTGGTGAGCTCAAGTTTTGCTGATTCATACATCCCCAACTTCAGGCAATATGGTAGGAAAGTTTCATAAAAGTTGTTACTTCTTTTGCATGAATCTTAGCCTATTAATATATGCAACATAGTGATAGATTAATGGAAATATTGCAATCTGGCCCTTCCAGTCTCCTAACCTAGCTACAGTTTTCAACAAAAACTGTTACCCTGTTATGTTCTCCCTGCTCCTTTCCATCTAGGGTTGTACCATCAGATGGGGATGGAAAGAAGCAGGGGTGGCAGGAAACAGATCTGCAGACGTGTTGGACCTCAGCTCCCAGTGTTCGTGACGGTTGGTCATGCTGGCAGGGGCTCCCAGCACTTGAAATCCAAAGCAATTAGAGATCTTCCTTCTGACCACCCCTGGACTACCGGGGACACCATTCAGAAAATTAGCTGTTGCATGGACAGATCTTTAAAAGGGTTCCCAATCCATAGGTGGGATTTGACCCTTTGCCACCTCCTCTAATTCTGATCCAGATTTGTCTGCAATTTGCACTAGAGAAAGCTTCCATTTCTGCAATCAAACAATTCCTTTATCAATACGTGGAAAAGTTTCTGACCTCTTCTGGGAAAAGCAATGTGGATTTTTCAAAACCTCTGCTGGATTTTTTAAAGGTACCCATAAATATTAACATAGGCAAAATAGGCAAATCTGTCTATTCCTTCTAATCTTCCTGTGGGATGTATGGAACTTCTGCCTGAATATATCTATGTTATCACTACTTTATTACACATTCATTTGCTGCATGGAACCAATACATTTATGCACAAATTAAGATACTTACTACAGGAGCACAGGGCCACAGAACCGTAGCCGTCATACTGTGCAACTCCAAGGACGAGGAGCCCGAAAGGTGTACTGGGGTGTTGTACAGAAAGGGAAGTAGCTTCTGTACCCAAACTGTAATCACCCCATGAATATTGTGTGCCCTGGACGGGTTTCCACTGGACATTCATGATGGCCTCCTTTTGTATTGTGATCCCACTGGATTCAGAGGTATTGGCTATCAGGACAGCATAATTGTGAAAATGGGCCATCCCATCAATGTGGTATGACATGCAATAGCTGGTTAAGGCTGGGATGTTGATCATGAATGGGTCATAGACTTCATTTTCTCTTGTGGAACCAGGGAAGAAGAAAATAATCTGGATTCCAGCATCTGCAGACACGTATATGGGGTGAGAAAGCTGCTCATCCAACTTGAGAACTTGTCCAGCCACCACATTGTGGGAGTTGTGGTTGTTTCCAGACTGGATTTTGATGCAAGTGACTTTGGAGGCAATTATATACAAAGTGTCAAGTCTACTGTAGAAGGGCAGAGGAGGGACAATGGAGGTGTTACCCCAGCTGGAAACAGGCAGGAGCTGTTCCACAACATGATCACAACTTGTGAACTTCCAGGCACAGCTGTGCCCACTCAAGACAGCCACAGGTTCCTTAGATTCAATTCTGCTGCCGGATAAATCGACTGAACTCTGCAGTTGGATTGCTTGGAAGGAGTCGAGGTCAACAACAAGCCTGCTTCCAGCAGGATATACCTGACCTTTGAATATGACAGACCCTTTTAGGTGAACATCAACTCTTGTGGGAAATGTGTAGGCTAGAATTGCAAATTCCTTGAAAGTATTTGCCCGGTCACCCATTGGAGTTATGGCATAATACTCTTTACCCAGCTGTTGAACTGGATAAACTGCTGTGGTAGCACTTGTTTGATGCTTGTAGTTGCGGGACAATACAGAGATTTCTTTGTCAGCTTGGATTCTCACAGTATGGTCAAAGATCTGCGTCCCCACCATTTCTATGGAGGTGGGGAGCTCAATGGACACTGTTTGTCCTGCATCAACAGAGATATCTCTCTGAAAATTGGACTTCTGCACGGTCACTGTAACAGTGGTTCCAGGATGATGCCCTGTAATAAGCAGCTCAAATTTTGCGTTGGGTTGCATTTTCCCATTGTTTTCCATGAAGGCTGTGATGAATTCTTGTCCACATGAACTTGTTCCACACGGACCTGAAAGAAGGAAGGAAGGAAGGAAGGAAGGAAGGAAGGAAGGAAGGAAAAAGCAAATGTCATAATTCAGCTATATAAATTTATGGTGAGGTTTAGATGAGATGTTGTTCTTTTCCAATTTACACAGCATGCAAGGAGCAGAAAACAGCCACTTATCAAAAAACTCAAGTAACTTACCTGTGAAGAAAAGGCTAAAGTGTTTGAGATGTGAATAGTGACAGGACCAAGAAGAGAATTCTCTCTCATGCATTAAAATAGACTCATAGCTGCTCAGAGGACTGGCATCAGGAAATATTTTTTTCTTAAAGCAGAAAATTAACTTAGGGCACAATCCCAGGGCCACCCAATTTGTCTCAGAGGCCACAGGATTCTTCAGAGCCCCAGCCCTGAGATCCTGGGTCCTCCAAGCTGGAACTTGGAAGTGGAGCACCCACCGTGTCCTTCCCAAAAATGCCCATCTAGAGAAAATAGCCAGGAAGGCAAGGCAGCAGTGGAGGTGATCCCCACTGTAGCTCATGCAAGGCATAGGATGCACTTGAGCCTCCAGGTTTGGAGGCTTCTGTGCATCTGCTGCAGGAACAATAGGACTGAGAACACTTCCAAGGTCACACAGAGAAAGAGATTACTTTGACTAAGGAATAACACTGTTCTGTTTCCCAAAGCAAGAATATTTCATATTTGCTAGCATCTTTCTTCTTCCTTCCCCTCCCCTTTGTATGCTTTCACTCCTGTCCTTTGCAGTACTTTGCACTGGAATCATTCTGATGATTCTGAGATAATCTTCAAGGGGTGTGGAGAAGAGATGAACCAGGGACAAGGACAGGGTGTTGAAGCCAATCTGTGCTATGTCAAATTTCCTCAATTGTTCTTAAGCAGCCTTCTCCTCCTGGGTGGCATCCAGGTGTGCTGGATGACAATTCTCAGTATATCTGATCATCAATCATGCTGGCTGAGGCTGATGGAAGCTGAAGTGCAAAAACCATTGGACAGCACCAGGTTGGAGAAGGCTATTTTAAAGAGTCGAGTCCAAAAACGGTTATGATCTGTGGATAGTCAAAATGAGAGCTTAAAGCTACATTGACACCTATGAGATACTTCAAGGAATGGCACAGATGAAGTGGCCAGGCTACATGTGTTATGATACCAAACTCACCACAAAGGAGTGCCAGCCAGGTCCAGAACGGCAGCCATCTTGTTGCCATGACTGGAAAAGAACAGAAGAAAGAAGTTCAGATAATCTCGATGGACAGCATGTTCCTGCCTCCCCAGTCTCATCAGTTGCTCCCGGTCGACCTCCAGCTCCTGCAGGAGACCAGAGGAGATTACTGGGCTCCTCTCCTGTCTGTCAGCATCTGCTCTACCCGCCTTCTTTCATAGGATGGCCTTTTATTCTTGTTTTATGTCATGATTTGTTGACATTTGGCCTTCATGATAGTAAACTGAATCTGGATTGATCTACATTTGCCATATATTAGTAGCATGTTTGATTTCAGAGGCCTGATTTCAAGACTGTAAGTTGCCTTTACAGTTTATATGGTGCTGGAGTGAAGGCAGGAGACCCTATACAATTTATATGTAAATTTGGAAGAACCCTTGCCTTCTCCTAAACAGAATAAGTTTTAATCCTAGAATTTCCTTTTTTTTTTTTAAAGAAAATTCACCGAAGTAGATAATCTGTCAGCACATGGAAGGAAAGGAACACAGCAGGGGGAGCATGTGCGCTATGCCACAAGGACAGTTCTGTTTGAAGGTCTCCTCTCTTTGATGTGTCAAGTCCGGTTTAGGGAGAAAAAGCCACGAGAAGGGAAACTCTGAAGCTGCTCATCAGCAGGCAAAGCAGGTGGACAGGAGGTTACCCAGTAACTCTTCTGCATAAGGTTATGCTAGTTCTATTTAAATTCATAGTAGACATTTCTAATTTTGATCTTATACATATGGATTACTGCATGCAAATATTATGCAATATTATCTGGGTTTTTTGAGTGCATGCATAAGTGGCTTCTCTAAATGTGGCTGCATCTTATGCAGTGCAAACCCCCCCCCCCACATGAACTTCATCTTTAATGTACAAGATGCAACACTGACACCCTGCTTGAGCATATTCACATCACTTCACATATCTAGCGAATGCCGGATATCTCAGAAAGCAAGCACCCCTTTTCCTTATGAGAAGGCATTGGTAGGACAGCAAGCCACTGATGATCAAGAGCTCTAGGATTCTTCCGGCATAATCCCACTATTTATCCCAAGCCCAATTCCATTTTGTGAGTGCTGCTCAGTTTACGCATACAGGAAATTTGTGCATTCTAAGTAGCAACCGAATGAGCAATTTGTACCCAAATGTGCACAAGTTTCCAGCTGATACTGTTTAGTCTCCTGAGGAATTTTGAACAGGTTAAGGAAAGGAATTGAACAAGAGGCTGAGAATGAGCCAAATGCGATCACGTGTTTGATAATGTGAAAATACTGTTGGCGGGCACCTGCTCACACTTGTGCTCATTCAGAACCTTCAGTGGACCATGCTGTCAAGGTTATCAGGCTACATTACTCAGACAGAGTGTGGGAACTAAGCCATCTTGGAGCAAGGGGGAGACACCATAGAATGGGGGGAGTGGACATAGGGGTGGAGTTCTTCAACCCTGTCAGAAAGTGTCAGGCAGAGAAAGCAGACCAATTAAATCTTGTCCACTGCACCCACCAGCGACTGGGTTTTTGCCGCTCTTGCCAAGGGGCTGCTTGACTCTGTGGGACTCACACAGTGGCTCACATTTGGGGGCAAACCCTACAACAATCCATGATTTCTTAGGATGATGCCACAGCGAACCATTGACTATTTTCATTGGCTGGCTGTAGTGATTTGTGGACCCAGGCAGAGTCCTACACAACAATCCTCCAGTGTAGTCCTGCATTGTGACTCCATATTTGCCCATGAGGACTGGGGAGTGGGCTGGGGCTCAGACAGGCTGATGCACAACATCGCTCCCTACAACCTACCAATGTATATCTTCTCGCCTGCTCCAGTGGGGACTGATGGAGCTTCCAAACCCTACTGCGAAGTACTTGCCGTCATAAGATGTGCCTTTTAAAATATGTCCATTAAACCAAAAGCAACCTCAGGGAACAATACGGAACACCCAGATTTGCAAGTAAGTTGGCCAGTACAATGGAGAATAGCTTGACTGCATCATTACACAGAAACGTATTGTGCACATAAGTGGCTTAGACAAGGAGCACTGAAGCAGGGTGAGGTGGCCCATCGATGTGCTTTTCATCATAAACACCACACGTGTGCACACCTGCATGCACATGCACAGAAGCTCACAACAATTCTCCTCCACTCTGTGGCTGCATCTATCACCACCATTTCTTTGCCTCCCAACTCACCTGCCTATTCTATTTGGACAGCACGATACCCATTTGCCACATTTTTCCTCCTCCTGCTCTACCTTCTTTGATCAGAATCAGAATGTGCTGCAGAGCAAGCCCACACTTTTCTCTTTGGTGATTAAAATGGGGGAAATCTTTTTTTTTTTCCTTATTCAGATTTTGACAGCCCCTCCTAGAGGTTTCTTTCTCACACATTTCATACTGAGACACCAAATTGTACTCATTGTATAAGATCCGACCTGCTGAGCTTTCAGATCTGCAGCCAGTGGTCCCATTTTAACTACATGGCCATGTTCAGAGATGGATCATTAGACGGATTGTGTTCTAAATGCCATGCCTGCAAACCACGGGACAGATGGCCGTGTGACTTACCTGTCTCTCCCCATATCAATGCAACATGAGGTTACTGGAAGGAAGAACAAACTCACTCACCTGCAGAAAGCATCTGGCTGGCTCAGGACTCAGAGACGTTGGGCTTATATAGCAGCTTGCTGTCCAGCCAATGCTGAAAGCAGGTAGGGAGAAAGGAAGCCTTTTGCATAATTCTCTGAGCAGGAAAAGCTGATAACATTATTTAATCTTTTGGCAGAGCAGCCTGTATAAGATACATATACACAACTTATGATGACAATATGCAAAATGTACATTATGTAACCCAGCCTGAAGATGTGGAATACGGTTGGCGTTCAGGGAGACAGGAGGTTTCAGAGTAACTTCAAAAGCAGGTAGAACTCTTTGGACCCATGAGGCAAATTCCTTTCTAGCTATCAGAGCACATATGAAGCCACACAGAGTATCCACATGTATATGTTGGCACTTCCCTTATGCCCAGAGATTGTGGATTTACTGACTTGATGAAGTTAAATGCATTCCATCTGAAATTTTCCAGTTCTGGTGTGTCCTCAGGCAGAAGCTGCTGAAGATGCATTTATCACTTCTTTGAGTGGCTATTACTGCTACTCATCCTTAATACAGTAAGAATAGGAGGTGATAAATGGGACCACCCATCCATTGACTGTAGCGCATCTTCTGTATGGTAACAGCTGGGGAGAGAGAGAAATTAGCCACTTTATTCTAACAGAAATCAAAGGAAAAATGTGTATCTCTATTGAATTACAGAGAATGCAGAAGGAAGTTTTGTGAAAGAGTTGCTAATTCAATGGTTCCATCAAGTAATTCTGGTCTGTAAAATAGAGGTGGTCAACTTAGAAAGGACTCGTCAGCTATCAGAACCCAGGATACTGAAGACAAATTTTTGATGAGATATTTCTGGTGTAATGTGTTTCAACCCCTTCCTCTTGCTTGGACTTTGCTGTATCCTGCCTTGCCTTGCCTCGCCTCACCTCACCTCACCTCCTGCAGCTCCTGAATCCTCCCTGGTTTATTCTGCCTCTGGTCCCTCTGCCTTGTCCTGTCCTGTCCTGTATGTGACTGTGCTTCCTGTATGTTTTGTTTTCCCTTTTCTGGACCTTTGTCTTGGCCATGACCTTGTACTTGTCTTGCCTCAATATGTGCGCTTCATTCCTGCCTTGGTCTTGCTTCTAGGCT